GGGTGGGTTGGGGGGGGGGGGGGGGGGGAGAGAGAAAATGGCTGAAGATTCAGGGATCTGTTATGATACAGAAGAAAGTCCTGGTGTTAGCTTACCCTGTGTCAATACTCATCAAATGCAGCCAAGACCCCTAATCCACTTTCTGAGCTCACCCAATATACAGATTAGAGAGGGAGATTCTGAACTGGTCTGGTTTTGACTACATTGATTTTTTTTTTTTAACTGATAAAATTAACTGTGCTGTCTCTGCTAAAATGAGAGAAGGTATTTATCTTCTGGCAAATGATTGGGAGTCTGGGACATGCTACCAGAAAGGGGAGCTGCAACTTAACAACATGATCCGTGTTTAGAATACAATCGTTGCTGTTAACTATTGATATTGTAGTGGCCCCCAAAACTCCAAATTGGGATTGGGCCCAAGAAGATGCACTGTATTTTCTTACATGCAGAATACCCCCAAATAAGACATGCGCCATGTTTTTGGGAAGGCAGAATGAAGAAGAACAACTTTTTCAGAGTTATGGCTCCATAGACCAGGGATGGAGCCTAATAAAAAAGTGGCAGTTGAACTTCAATGTCAACAACAGCAGGGTGCATGCGAGAAAAAATAACCACAATTGTGTGTACACAGTGCTGGGTTCTGAGCTAGCTGTTAGGACTCAGAAAGAGATCTTGGAGTTGTCTTAGTTTTCTAAAAACAAGCAAGAAACAGAAAAAGTACTTGATGCTTATTTTAGGGAATAGTATTTATTATAAAATGCCTGCATTGCTGTTGTGGGTTCATATTGTGAAGCATATTTTCACCTTGCATAATGGGGATCAGCTGGCAGTCTGGGCTGATACCTAATTCTGATGAAACTATATGCTTCCATATGGAGAAAAGTACGCACAAGCTGTCGAAGTTACATTTCTGTGCCAAGGGAGATATTAAGATTGTTCGGAGAGCTAAACATTAGGTTGCTTAAGTCTAACTGAGCATGACAAAGGGCTAATACAGAGGCTTGGAGGCTGTACCCTTTCACACAAGGCAAGACAAGACCTGGAGGTCTTTTTCAGCAGTATGAGATGAATCCTGGCCCATAAGGGATATTGCAGTATTTCCCTGGGGAGTAAAAGAGGTTTTAGGGGAAACATGATAGTCTGTTTTTTGAGCAGGTTCAGTTGCAGCAGAAACCTCAAATTAACAATCAACGTTATTGGTCTTGGTTTATTGAAGATGCAGCAATGCTAGTAGCACGCAAACAGGATGCATTGATGAAAGATAGACTTTTATTATCCCTCAAACCAATATAACGTAAAAGTAATGTCTTTAACCAATAACTGAAAACCACACTTGTTTTAATAAGTACTAAAATTGTCCTAGTGCACAGTGTAAAGACCTTGTGATGGAATTATTTTTGGCTGCAGAAGTTGGTATTATTGGTAGAAGAAATGTGATCAAGGAGCTAACAAAAGAACAAGACAGTAGAAAAGGCAGGCTTTCATTTCTTTTTTCACTTCCTCTCTTTTACATTCTCTCCTGCCTGTTTCTGTTGGAGAGAATAGAATGGGGAGAGTGGAGAGAGCCATTATTGTGATTTAAATATAGAATCATCTCTCAGCATTTCTGCTCATTATCTGTCCACTGGAACTCAAAGAAGCCTATATCTAGAGAGTACTCAGAGCGATAGTCTGAAATGGAGAAACCTCTCAAGCCTTCCTGCCGAGCAGCTCTCCTCAGTTTACTATGTTAGCTGCGGCAGCTTTTTATTGTCATTATTATCTCTCCCTTTTTACCTGTGTACAGTATACAAGTATGTGATATAGAGCAGCCTGAGGAAAACCTGAGGCACAAATTCTGTCTTCTGATGCACTACTAATACCCAGTCAATAAAAGCCCTAAGTGTTTTGCTTCAAAATAAAAGTCTTTGCCTTATAAATCAATGTGCTGCATTTGGAGTATTAAAAAAAAACTTCAAAAAGAACAACAACCTGGTGCACTTTTTAACAAAAACCTTGTTGTCTGTGGTGCTAGGTTAAGCAAGTGTAGGGGTAATTGCAAAGTGTTAAAGGCAAGGTTCAGCATTTTGGTCTGGCCTGTTTTCTTGGCTCATCAGTTAAGTGTACAGTGATGGAACTGTCTTCTAGAATTCTTCCGCAAGATTTGTTATTGCTTTCAGTGAGTGTTGGACTTGGCTGTAAGAGAGTTAGAACAGTAAATGACAGTCCTGATGATAAGACTGGTGTTTTTTGGATGATGAACAGCTATTGCGCAACCTGAAAACATTACATTTATGTATTAGATGGCTATCCTGCTTTATCCAAAAGGCTCAGAGCAGCTTACAATAAACAAAACCCCCACAGATGAGGTTCTTTTTAGAATTATAAAGTAAAAAGAATAAAGGCCGGTGTCTGTTCTCCCACGCTCTACAGAAATGAACATGCCACCTGTTTTTTTGAGATGTGTGCCTATCTGGTTTGAGGGATGATACCTGAAGCACAGCCAGATAAGCACTTGTTAGGGCTGAACAAATAATGTAATATATTCCATAAGCATTCATTTGTACTTTTATATTGCATTTGACTCTGCTTAGCTGCTTCTGTTTGTAGTCTAGTAAAACATCCTTAGAATATTTTAATTGTTACAAAATAACATAATCTATTTAGAAAGCAAACCTTGATTTCTTAACTGTAATTATAAGAGTTTTGCCCAGTCCTAGACTGTAATCTTGGCTATATTCAGCTTTTATTAAAGCCTACTCTGTTCTGTATATTAGTCTGATTTGTTTCAGTAATTGGTATGACACTTTTTTTAAAACCAATTTGGTTATGGGCATGTAAACCCTAAACTGGGTACATATATAATAGTGCCATAGACTGGTACAAGTTCTCTAGCTTCTCGAACTGGAATAAGCTATAGTTTTGCAAGTATTTCTGTACTGATAGAACTGCATCCATGTTAGGAGGGTTGTAGCTTTGTCTCGTAAGTTGAAGAGGCCAAGATTTCTTGGGTAAATAATATATTGCCGTAAGAGTGGAATGCACCAATATTACCCATAACTGTTATCTAGCCTTGCTTGGAACTATTAAAGTCTTAATTTAGGGAAGAAATTACACAAGAACACTTGGAAATTTAGGTTCTTTTCAGGTTGATATTCTCTCCAGAGGGAAAAATTCTGATGCTTTTAAACCTTGTAGTGGGTTTCTCTTTGAAATGCTTTATCATTGTATTTTTGTTTGCAAAACACTTGTTTCCCCCAGTTTTATAGCAGTCTCTCTTCTATCTTAGTCCACCCTCCATCTTGCATTCTAGGGGTTTTCCCCCCTTTTTTTCCTCATCTGCCTTTAACTTGATCTTTTGATCTATTACCTGTAAACTCCTTAATTCTGTAGTTCTGTTGCTATTCTGCGGTATGTTTTGTTTTTGTTTGGGTCTTTAAACTGCTGCTTTGTCTCCCTTCTTTTATATCCCATTTTCTTCTGATTCCTGATGGTTACACAATGTGAATGCACAGGAGTGCATCTGGCTTGGATTGTGCTCTCTGGTCCAGATTTATTTATGAATTTGCTAGCAGTGTGTAGTTAAGGGTATGCTTTGTTTATTCTTTCATGCAGCTGATGGCTGTTGCTGCTTTGGTTTAGAGCCACAGGAGTAAATGAGGCTTTGAGTGAATAACTGCATGTCACCCTGAATAGAGCAGTTCTCGTGTACCTCATCTGCAAAAAATTCAAAATAATGGAAACACTGCATAATAGGAATAAGCAGGGTGACTGCGCCAGTGCAAGACTTCGGCACCAAAAATTCAAGGGCTTTGGCAGCAAAGGAATAAAACTATGCCTGTCCCATAAAGGTACAAATAAAATGCTATACTACATATACAAAGCACCTTGGTCAGTATGTTCAAATAAAATAAATAGGGGGAAATAATGTATTGACAAAATAATTTCACCACAGCCAAGCTTTCTGAAAAGTAAAACCTGCATTCTAATGGCATTAACACCTCTTTGGTTGTACACTTTAATGTTAGTGTCTTAAGACTGGACTAACATCCGTTCGGAATAGACAATAGCATGAAATACATAGTTGCATTGAGCTGTCTCTGTACTTTCTAGTGCAGGCTTTTGCCCTTCCCCCTTCCTACAGAGTAGGCACGTCTACCTTGTTTGGCTAAAAAAATCAAAAAAAAAAGAAAAAAATCACAAACGCTTCCAGAAACATGAATGAAGGAACTCAAAATCAGACTGAGGCTGTTCAGTCCATTTGATGGGAATATGACTGGCTTCTACTAAGAATGATGGACTTGCATGAGATACTGATTTCTGAGCAGCCTGATGCAGTCACTTCTGGAAACTACTAGTTTTGCATGTTCTGAAAGGAAGAATTGATTGTATGGTGCGGTGAGAAATCTCGCTATCTTTCCATATTAATAAAATAAAACTATTTCAGTGTTCACGTGTTGAAATTACTTGTTCTCCCCATCACTTAACACTGTCCCATACATGTTTCAAAGCAGCTCCAATGTATTAGTAACAATGCGCCTTTTTAAAATTGAATGAGAAATATTCAACTAAAAAAAATTTGACTCCTTTAAAAATTGACTCCAATCATTTCTCTTATGACACCAAAGCCATGAAAGGACCATTACAAAAAGGAGAGGTGAAAACCTGTACAGCTGTTGTGTCCTGAGATATACCATACAAGGCATAAAACTGGACTCTCTCAAACACTCTCTGAATTGGAGTGGGGGGGGGGGGTTTGGTTCTCTCATGGGTTCCCTATTCAGCAGGAATCCAAAGACCTGATTCATGTTGTTGGCACTGGAGTAACGGTAAATAAGTTTTCCTCTGGGATTCTGTATGAGAGGAGAAGAGAGACTATACACAGAAACATGGCCTGAATCTTAAAAAAGCCACTGCCATTTAAATAAACTATTCTGTTTCTTTCTTCGATGACCACCTGTAATGATTGCACAGTTACTTTACCAGAAAAAAATTACCTTCCAATGGAGATGTGCTACATGCATCATCTTCCAGCATTTTACTTTCTACTTATTTTTTCTAAACTGGAAAGAAGAGAAAACATTTATTTTTAAAAGATACTGAGATGTGTCCTCACTTGCATATACCTGAGGAGTTTCCAACCTGTAGCTCAGGGGTCATCTTTGGCTTGTGGCCAAAATGAGACAAAAAGGAAATATTGTTAGAAATAAGGTTGGTTGGTTAGTTTTACTGACTGACTCCTGTTTTCAAGAGAGGTTTGGGAATAAAAAAAATAAAGGCAAGGCAGCATCTCAGTTGCTGCTCCTGTAAGAGGGTTGGAAATAAGAAAGCAAAAGACTAAACCCATTAACGATTTGCAAGAAGGGTTGGGGACAAGGAACAGTCAGGCAGTGTAGCAACTGCTTTGAGAAGAGGGAGTAAGCTCCCAAATGAATGCTTAAGAAAAAGGATCTGCAGAAAGAAGGTTGGTAGTACCAGTTGTGACTTAATATTTTAAGGAGGCACTCTGATATGATCAACTTTTGATTTTATACTCTCTACACCCATGTGAAAGAGAGGGGCCTAATTTAATTTGATATAAAGTTATGTCTTAGGAAACAGTAGTCTGGCAGGTGGCTGCCAGTACTTGCTTGGGATTTTTTTTCCTTTGAAAAAGGAGACTGATAAGAGAGTAGATATAGATTATTTTACTGCATGTTTTGCACCACAGTACAAAATTGACCGGTTTTATTTTAACACAGAACTTTTTCTTTTGTCTCTTAGTTTAGCACTAGACATTCTGATTTGTTTATCAGTGGGGATCCTGGTTTTCTCTGATTTAAAAAAAATGGCAGAATCTCTGACAAAAACTGCAAATTCTCTGATAAAACCCCCCAAATCTGCAATTAAAATGAAACGCCCCTATATATATGCAAGCTCTGCAGTGCCCTGGCAAGGTGCCCCGCTGCCTGCCTCAGGTCAGCAAGGGTCACGACCCTACGCTGCTGCCCCTGCTGTTGCTGGGCAGGCAGGGGGCACCTTGCCAGGGTGACATGGGGCTCTCATCAGCAATGAACTTCCCACCCCACTCTGCCCTGCCATGCTGGGTCCCACCCACTGAACAGGGGAGGGCAGCAGGGTGGGGAGCCTGAGCCCGCAGCTGACAGCCCACCCCTGCTCCTTCCGCAGCACACAGACTTAGGGGCACAGGTCTCCCTGCCTCCCCCTGAGAGTGCATGCAGCAGTAGGGAGTCAGCCCCCTGCTCCAGATGAGCCACCTGTGGCCCCATCCCACTACCAGCTGGGGCCCTACCTGGCCCTGGGCCCCAAGCAGTGCACAGCTGAGCAGCAGTCTCAGTCCCAGCCCTTCCTGGCTCACTCCCTCCCTCCCTTTGAGGGCCTCAATCCTCCCCCTCCCCTTCCCCCCAGCTTACCTGCAGGAGCTGCTCTCCAGGCTGCCTGGTGGCCATGTCCTCTTCCCATTCCCCCCAGGCCCTTGCAGGCTGGAACTTGGCCAGTGTGCAGAGATCTCTTTGCAAAACTGCAAAATCCATGCGTTTCTCCATTAAAATTAAAAATCCATGTTTTTCTTGAGTAAAAGGGGAAATCTGTGGGTTTTTGGCATTTTTCTGTGGGAAAAGGAAAACCCAGATACTTGCTTATCAACATCAGTTTAGGACTGATCAAGAGCTTGGAAACTTGTTAGCAAACTAATTGTCTTTGCCTTGTTTATTTTTTTAAAATTAGGAGTCTTTAACATCATGAACCATTAAGTAGGGGGTCATATAGGTTTAAAGGATAATTCAATGGCTGGAATATTGAGTCTGGTCAGCTATATAACAAACATTTAAGTTATAAATCAGTTCTAGGTATTTGAGAAGATGCTGTCTCAGGAAACCACTTTTAAAGAGAACTTAAACCTTTCAATGTTTTAAACACATGTTTCAAGTACTTATAAATTTCTCTTTCTTGGAAAAGTCACTGTTGCCAAGAAATAACTGCAAATACATATTTGGCAAAAATGTTATTTCCCCTGCTGTTCATGATGAAATGTGAACAGCAGGGGAAAAATATAAAAATAATATAAAAACAGTATTTACTAGCTCTGTTTTTATGCTTACCTTTTATTTTAATTTTTTAATTTTCTGCTTCTCTCTCTTCTCTCTACCAAAAATTATATAGATAATTTGATGCTGCAGATAAAGTATGTTTTTAGGACTAGGTGAACTGGATCATATCCTCTAATTTTTTCCACTTGATGACACTTATTTATCACTGTATTTCTTTTGTAAAAGTAATTGGAGCTAAACACTATCCTTAGAACCTCCCTGTAGCTTCTTGGACCTCATAGGTATGCTCAGATCCCTCAGTGGGGTATGTTTGATGATAGAGAAAATATGCATGCCAGTTGCATGACACTTTTAAATATTATCCAGCTAAACTTTAGATCACATGATATAACTTGGTCTGTTAAAACTGGTATTGCAAGGAGCATCTTGAGCTGCATCATAAATGTAATTAAATGTTAAAGGTTCAGTAGAGAACTATGTTAGTCACTGTTTAAAAAATGCTATTCGTTAACCTATACCACATGATTACCCGGTTTTGTTTATACGTTAATAGAAGAACTGATGGTACTTTAAAAGTGTTATTTTGTGACAACTTGGCAAAAGGTCATCTTAATTTCAAGAAGAATGATGGCAAAACATCTTGTCTCATTTAAGTAATAAGAGCATGGGTGTGTATTATTTTGGTAAAGGACAGAAGGGCTTAAGACAGGAAAGTTAAATGCAAATTTATGAGTTATTACACTTAGGAACATTTGGATCCAGGGATTTGGTTCCAGCTCAGTTATGGAAATATGTGAATCAGTTTAAGGTTGGTGTTATGCTGGTGTTAAGTCACTGGCCTCTTCTTTGCCTGATGGTTCTATTCTGTGTACAAATTTTAGATCAAATCTTTGTGCAATATGCCAATATTTGCCATTTCTGTAGAAATAATTAGCACGGCGTGTTTCTATCATGCCATGCTAATTATGAACTGCTGTGCCATCCTACAAAGTAGCATTGTCATGACACTGCTTGAGCAAGATGCCAGTCTAAAAAGTATTGTAACTGTTCAGTTCACACGTGAATAATACTAAATGCCAGAAGTATATCCAGGATTTTACCATGGGGGGGGTGTAGCAGCAGTAACCAGGTCTGTAAGGTTGGCTGCACATCCTGATTCCAGTTCTCCCTCCACCCCTTGCCCCCTCACTGCAATGGCAAATCACACCACAGGAGCAGCAGCAGTCAGGGACTTTAAGACCTTAAAGCAGCTAAAAAAAA